TTTTTTCTATATATTTTTAGTTGTCCAATTAATTTTTTTCTAATTTTAGTAGAGACGGGGTCTCGCTCTTGCTCAGGCTGGTTTCGAACTCCTGAGCTCAAACAATCCACCCTCCTGGGCCTCCCAGAGAGCTAGGATTACAGGCGTGAGCCACCGCGCCCGGCCACTTATACTGATTTACAGTCATTTTCTCAGTCTTTTTTCTGCTGCTATAACAGAATACCACAGAGTGGGTAATTGATAAGGAAAAGAGATTTATTTGGCTCACAGGTCTAGAGGCTGGGAAATCGCAGACTGAGGGGGGGCAGCACCTGCTTCCTGCTGACCCACAGCGTGGCGGAAGGCGCCACGTGGCCGGGAAGCTCCCAGCTCAGAGAGAGAGAGGAAGTTGGGCCACATGCACCTTCTCATCTGGGACCGCCTCCCACAGTCACCTGCCCACTCCCTCCATAGCGCCATCGATCAGTCCCGAGGGCGGAGCCCCCTCTGCCTGATCCCCCCCTCTGAACACTGTTACGACGCAGTTAAATTTCAGCATGAGTTTTGGAGGGGACATTCCAACCGTAGCAATAATTTTATAATCTTATTATAAATATGACTTTATTAGTTGTTTTGCCGATAGATAACTGATTTTTATGGCCTCTATCTCAGGACTATAAAAGAATTCAGTTACATTGCTATAAAATGCCTCCTTCTAGCCCCTTCTAGTTTTTTATAAGAGCCAGATTTCTTAACACCTATATCTATAAAAAATAATCCTAAAGTAGAATTTGATGTTGAACCTATGTCACTCTAGCATTAAGAAATATCCTGTGTACTACACTAATTTTTAAGTCTCATCCATCTATTGAGATGCATTTCAGATAAAATTCTATTTTTATGTTTAGTAACCTAACAATTGCATAATATATTTAAGATTTTGATCATTTGGCTGCTAATGATAATAACTCAATCCACAAGAAATTATTTAGTGGAGCCTTATTTTTACATGAAATAAAATTAAAAACATAAATTATGAATAAATTTTTCTTGTGGAAAAACGTTACATAAAAACATATTAGGTTATTAAATAGGAAATGTCCAATTTCGAATCAAATGTACAGTTCATTATATCTCAAACAGGAAGCAGTACAATTGATCAGAGTATGCGCCTAAACTGTCCACAGATTTGTCATCTTGATGATAGCTTGCTTATGCCAGCAGCGAAGAAGCCTGGAGAGTGAGTGGCAATGAAATTGCAAAAGGCATTTTCCACAGCTTGTTGAGAATCAAGTATTCTTCCTTGCAAGAAGGGGTCCAAAGCCTGGAAGAAGTAGGAGTCAGTTGGTGCAAGGTCTGGGGAATACGGTGGATGACAGAGAGTTTCCAAGTCCACCCTCTGTAGTTTGAGCAGCGTTGTTTGTGCGACATGTGGTTGAGCATTGTCTTGCAAGAGGATTGGCCTGTCTCTGTTGACCAGTCTCAGCTGCTTAATCACAAGCATCCTCATCATTTCATCCAACTGGTTGCAGCAGACATCTGCTGTCATCGATTGACCGGGTTTCATGAATCTGTAGTGGATAATACCAGCACTGGACCACCAAACACACACCATTAGCTTTTTTTGATGACTATTTGGTTTTGGACTGTGTTTCAGCGCTTCATCTTTATCCAACCATTGTGATGAATGCTTGCAATTGTCAAAAAGAATCCATTTTTCATCACTTGAACAATACAGTGAAGAAATTGTTCCCCTGTATGTCATGACAGCAGAGAAAGGCAAGCTTCCCGACAATTTCTGTTCGCACGCTCCTTTAATTCACGTGGAACCCATCTATCCAGCTTCTTTACCTTGCCCATTTGTTTCAAATGGTCCAATATTGTTGGAATAGTGACGCCAAACCTTGCTGCTAATTGACCTGTAGGTTGAAATGGATTCACTTCCACTACAGCTTTCAGCTCATCATTATCCACCTTGGTCTCAGGTCACCCACGTGGCTCATTTTCAAGATTAAAATCACCAGAACGGAACTTCTCAACCCATCGACGTACTGTGCATTCATTAGCCACATCCTTCCCAAACACTTCGTTAATATGTCGAGCTGTCTATGCTGCATTGGTTCCACGATGGAACTCATATTCGAAAATAACACAAATTATTGACTTATTCATGGTTTCACAAAAATTGCTCTAAAAAATTTTTTTGAGAGATAATCACAAGCCAAAATGTGCATTTGAAAGACTGAGGATGTGCCTTCACATTAAACCTAAAACAGGAAGTGTCAAAGTGAAATATCAGAGATATCAACTGTCAAACTTAGTACTTAAGGAAATTGGACATTTCATACTTAATAACCTAATAATAATAATAAGGCTGGGCATGGTGGCTCATGCCAGTAATCCCAGCACTCTGGGAGGCCGAGGCAGGAGGTTTGATCGAGGGCAGGAGTTGAAGACCAGCCTGGGCAAGAATGAGACCCCATCTCTGCAAAAAGTAGAAAAACTAGCCGGGTGTGGTGGCACATTCCCATAGTCCCAACTACTTGGGGGGCTGAGGCAGGAGGATCCCTTGAGCCCAGGAGTTTGAGGTTGCTGTGAGCTATGGTGACACCACTGCCCTCCAGCCCTGGTGACAGAGTGAGACTCTGTCTCAAAAAAAAAAGTACATATACATAGTAATACATTACTATGAAATCTTTTGAACAAATGGAAGTGTGATTTGAAGGTTAAAAATAAATACTACATAATTTACGACTATTAGAAACAGCTTGTTGGTCTTCCTTCGTGAGTGACAGTAGGTTTCAGATCACTGTGGCATTTAGATTCTTTTGTCCAAAAAGGAGAACTATGATTATTTAATTTAAATAAATGATATACGAAGTATGTTAAAAAGCACTCCCCTTACAACTATTTAAGCTTACCTTGAATAATTTTAGGTGTCAATTTGAAAATATGCGACATGAATGTACGCTGTGTAAAAATTATTTTGGGGGTTATGTAAGAAATAAAGAGAACATAATCATTGCCTTGGGGGCTACAGGCTTTTTATTCAGGTGTTTTGTGATTGCTTCCGGAAAGAGATGTTTCTGTATTTCCCAGGCACGTGTGCCTAGAAGGCGTGAATTACAGTTTATGTATTTCGGTGTCATACAGTTATGGGACATTCACCGTCTGCCTCATACTTGGCGTATCTCGTGGGTTTATTCAAGCGTGCCTCTTAATTTAAAGCATGATTAAATAACGATAACCCTATCAATTATAGCAATTTAAAATATTTGCTTAGCAAGGGCAGGCTTTGGCTTTTTGGGTATTTTATATAATATACACTAAGTTTTCTAACTCTCCTCCCCTTTTTTTGCAGGTAACAGAAATGAAGATAAGCTCTATCCGGAACTTTCCGGCTATCATTCGAGAGTTGGTAAATAAAAAAATCTATATGTTAAAAATGATTCATATCTATCTTATAATCACAAGCTTTCTAATAAGTCTGACAGGTTGGGAAACTCTTAGCACTTCTTTGACTTATATCCACATTTTTTTGAGAAGTATTTCATTTAAAAAATGCTATAC